ATATAATGCGAGTCACGTATGTAATTTAGAATTTTTAATAGCCACTTTTAAAAAAGTAAAAAACAGGTGAAATGAATGTTAATAATGTATTTTGTTTATCCTGATAAATCCTTATCTAGGAAAAGTGGTTTTGGATTTTTTTTTTTTAAAGAAGTGGTTATGGTTAACTCCTTTTGCAGTAACACCTCAATTAACTTCCCTAAAGATAAAATAGGACTAGATCCAAATACAGAGGCCAAAACTTGGTGGATTCTTTAGAAGACAGCTTTTATTTACCTAAAAATACCCATGGAGAAGAAGACGGAGTCTCACTATTTTGCCCAGGCTGGTCTCAAACTCCTGGGCTCAAACAATCATCCTGCCTCGGCCTCCCAAAGTGCTGGGATTACAGGTGTGAGCCACCATGCCCAGTCTTATTAATCTCTTTTTTACCTATCTAAGAGACCCTAGTTTTCTGAATCAGCAAGTGGCTACAGCAAAAATATCTGACACATTTCTTTTCAATGATGAATACTGTCTCCAGGGATAAGTCAGGAACCTGACCTCAGGCATGACAGTACAGAACCATCTGTGGAGCATCAACATCCACTAATGCAAGGGCCAGGGAAAGAAGTTTTACCAGAGAAAGGAGGGACAGAGGAGGCTTCTGAGCATCTGGAACTTATTAAGAGAGGTGAGTTCTTAGTTAAGGGTAGGGCCATGGGCCTATCTTTTCCAATCTTGCTCTGCTGGATCTGCAAACCTCATTTAATCCTGTGATTTACAATTCAGCAATGCCCAACAGAATACCTTTAGGGATGCAGTGGAATGGGCTGTCTCCCTTACAACCAAATCAGCAGCTATGGCCATTCTTCCCAAAGCCTCTGTCCCCCACCTGGAGGACCTACTAATATTGGGCCAAAATGCTGTGATATGACATGAATCTGGAAGGACGGCAGCAGACCTGTCAGGAAAAGGAAAAAAGCTTTTCCTCCACATAGATGGGAAGTGGGGAGAAGAGGGGAAAAAAGGCAGTATGCAGCACAGGTAGCAAGGCTTACAAGAGGAAGATGAAATGAGTCGCTAAGAAACATGCATAAGAAAATGAGTCACTACTCTTGTCTGTTAAGACAGGCCAGCAAGTATGTCTGTTTAGTCCCCAGTGAGAAAGAATGGTATTAAGAAGGCTCTTTAGACACCCCAGTGAAGTTGCCTTGAAGTAATAAGAGAGAAGAGGGGACTGGAACAATGAATGAGCAGCAGTGAGGGCTCTCGTCCTCCTCCTGTATAATTCACAAAATAATTCTTTTCTGGCAACATAAAGCTCCTATTACATTATCATATTCAAAATGGATGAACCTATATAGATCTGATGGTATCAATATTAAGTCTGAAGCTTCTACTTGATACCAAGGAAAAAGTACTCAAGAGACTAGATATTAAGTTTCAAACAATTTTAAGATTCAGTTTAAGTGAGACCAAACAGACCTAAGTTGGACTAAAATTTCCCTCAGGTTTCAATCAGCAACATAAAATAAGCAACAAGTGGAAGAGTTTAATCTCAATCTCTCTCTTTTTTTTCTGAGACAGGGTCTTGCTCTATCGCCCTGGGCTAGAGTGGAGTGGCATCATCATAGCTCACTGCAACCTCCAACACCCGGGCTCAAGTGATCTCCCTGCCTCAGCCTCCTGAGTAGCTGGGACTACAGATACGCACCACCATACCTCGTTAATTTTTCGATTTTTTGCAGCAATGGCATGTCGCTTAGGCTGGTCCCAAACCCCAGGCCTTAAGTGAGTCTCCTGCCTTGGCCTCCCAAAGTGCTAGGATTACAGGTATGAGCCACTGCACCTAGCCTATTTCTTTTGATAGGGTACAGGGGGTAGCATTATGTGTAAGAGGACAGGGGAGAAAGAGAGAAGCTATAGAAAAGTGCACAACATGGAAATATAGTGTGGTGAAATTTAATACAGAAACAAATTATAATTTTACCTTTCTTAAACCAAACATCTATTTCAGATTAAAGATCTAGATTCTGGGTTACTCCTCAGGGCATCTGAATAGATGAGGGTGGACCCTTCTCAATCATTAAGTATTTACTGACCACACACTACACTTAGGCACTGTGCAAGGGTGCAGGCCACCACAATGCAACCAGTCAATAGAGGTCCACAAAGTAAAGCCTCAGTTCTTTGGTAGGTAACAATTGCCTCTCTGCAGTTCTTTAGCAAAATAAATAGTTAGCTAGATACAAACACTTATGGCAAATGGCTTTTCAAGTCATCCTCATCAGATAAGGCTGCAGTTCTCTAGGGAATGTGGAAACTTAAAAGATAAATGCTCAGTGTGGTTGAAGATAAGGAAGGGAAAATGAGGACTACTTGTAAAGTCTGCATTTATTCTTTGGGAGATTTCTGAAACAAATAGAGACCATTTATCAAGGGGCATAGTGTAAGTCTCATTAAAACATGCAGTAACAATCTGAAACAAACAAACAAAGAAATGCAAAATTCAAGTCAAACAAGTTATACTAAATAACCAAGAATAGGATTAGTATGAATTTGTTTTCCAAATCCTAGAATACTAAGAACAGAAGGTTAAATCTTAACACTTGGAAGGGGGTTTAAGGAACAGGAAAAAATGGCCATATCACCCAGTGGAAAGAGCACTGGGCTGGGGAAAATGACCTGGATCCTGGTACTAGCTCCTCCCCCAGGTGAGTATGCAACCTCTGAAAAGCTATAGGATGTTTCTAAGCTTTAGTTTACTGTCTGTAAAAGAAGGTTGGAGTTCTAGATCTTAATGGCTATGACTACCACATGAATTGCTTCTACAAACTGAATAGGTGGGATTTGACAAATGAGAAAATGTAGGTAAGATGACCAATTGTCCCGATATTTCTGATATGTCTTTTACTACACTCTGAGAGAGTGGCTTCTGTTTACCAGCACAGTAAGAGAGGAATTGGTAATTCAGCAGTCAATTCTATTACTGAGGTAGTCAGTCTTAAACAGAAACAAAATAGCAAGACTGTTTCTAAGGCTAACCTTTCTCAAGAGCAAACATGACACAAAACAAGGAACCCGTCCTTACTGGCTAAGAAATAATCACACTAGAATGCTTTCAGCTCAGTATTCCCATCCACTTGTACTCCCTTGACAACTGGGGCACCATAGAAACATCCAGATAGAATTCCCACAGGTAAAGGATCCTTTCCAGCCACTCTGCCGGGGATATATAAGACTTCAGCCATCTGGGGGAACCCTTTGGATTCTGAAAAAGCACAAGTTCCTGAGGACCTAGGAAAGGCATTTAGATCTTTGGGTTTCAAAGTGTAAAAGCATCTTTATTTTTACACTTGAACATCTGGCAAAGCACTTTGATGATGATAAACACAATGAATAAATGGATGAGTGAGTGACTAGCTACATATAACAAATATTCTGAAAGATTTTTGTGTTAAATATAATAGGCTGGGCGTGGTGGCTCACACGTGTATCCCAGCACTCTGAGAGGCCGAGGCAGGAGGATCAGTTGTGGCCAGGTTTTGAGACTGGCCTGAGCAACATAGTGAGACTCTGCCTCTACAAAAAATTTTTTAAAAAATTAGCTGGGCGCAGTGGTTCATGCCTGTAGTCCCAGCCACTCTGGAGGCTGAGGCAAGAGGATCGCTTGAGCCCAGGGAGGTTGAGGCTGCAGTGAGCTATGATCA